CGGACGGACGGACGGACGGACGGACGGACGGACGGACGGACGGACGGACGGACAGACAGACAGACAGATTAGGGATTAAAAATCTAATAAATAAACAAATAAAAATAACGTATGTAGAAAGTTAGCAGACTTCATCGGGACCTTAAGTTTAACCAGTGGTGGGTTCCTGCTGGTTCAGACCGGTTCAGACAAACCGGTAGTGGTTTGGCGGCCTGGGTCACTGTGGGGTCGCTGGAACCGACAGTGACCCAAGCCTGCCACGCCCTCGAACTGTTTCCCCAGTTGGCGTCATCAGCGGCGCCATCTTGTTTTTCAATGCAGGCGCAGAACAATTTTAATTGCACTATGCATGCTCGCACAGCACGCATCACGCATGCAAAGCACGCACACGAATGAACCGGCAGTAACCCACCCCTTTTTAGGATGCAAATGATGAAGGGGTTTTGGGTGTCCCCTCTGCCCAAGAATGAGACTGAGGCTTTTAAAGTAGAACTGGCTAGAAAGAGTGGCATTAAGGTGTCCTCCCGAAAGGACCACTTCCCAGTTTTGTGCCAGGCATAACTCTGCCTAAACAGGGCTGACTGTTGCCCCCCCCCAAATGATGTTTTGTGGTGCTTTTCCAGGTGGAGCATGACCCCCCAGACCGTCAACGCTTATTACCTGCCTACCAAGAACGGCATCGTCTTTCCTGCAGGCATCCTCCAGGCTCCGTTCTACGCCCACAACCATCCCAAGTGCGTGGGGGTGCAGCGGTGATGGGTGGGAAGATGAGACTTGGGGCAGGGTAGTGTAACACACATGCTCAAGGAAACTGGCCAAGGAGAGATTCAACCTGGAAATGAGGAGGGACTTTCTGACAGTGAGAACAATCAACCCATGGAACAGAAGTTGCCTCCAGAAGTTGTGGGAGCTTCATCACTGGAAGCTTTCAAGAAAAGATTGGACTACCCTTTGTCAGAAATAGTGTAGGGCAATGATGGCTAAAGGTTTGGTGCCAAGTGCCCAAAGTGTGTGCATGCAAAACCCCAAAATGCAATAAGAGCACCCCTGCATATGTGCTCCACCCTCCGCTCATGGCTGATTGGTGGGAGGCACTCTCCCATATGCGGTGGAACTGGGCTGGGGTGACGTCCGGCATGCTTGCAGAGAGGGCTCTTTAAAAGACTTGTCTGGGATAGTCAAAGCCTCACCTACTGCTTCATGTGTCTTTATTTCCTTTCTGTCCCTCAAGGGCCCTCAACTTCGGAGGCATCGGCGTTGTGATGGGGCACGAGCTCACCCATGCTTTCGATGATCAAGGTAAACGGCCCGTTGTGCCACCTGGGGCTTGGCTGTTTGGGGTTCTCATTCACCATTCATGGTGTTTTCTAAATGTGGCATGGCAGCCCAAAAAGCCAATGCAATCCCACATTGCATTTAACAAAGTGATTCAATCAAGATCATGTGAGGTATTAATACCGCTCTATAAAGCCCTAGTAAGACCACACCTAGAGTACTGCATCCAGTTTTGGTCACCACATTATAAAAAAGATGTTGAGACT